AACTAAACATGGGATGGCACACAGACCATAATAGCAACTAAATTTCTGTGTACTAAATTTGTATTTGCAGAACTACACTAAAAACTCTAATTTGAAATGTTTACAAATGTCTAGGATTTTTTTTAAGCTTCTCTATATTAGGAACTTTGTTTTCCCTTCCCAAATGCAGTCACTAAAGGATCAGTGGGACTTGAGTGCTAAGTTAAATGCCTAGTAAGAAATTAAACAAAAGAATCCAAGCAATCAAAATGATGCCTGTATTTGCTGCCTACAGAAATGTAGGCTGTACTGCATGTGTAAGAAAATTTGGGCGTTAGCTAACCCTTTATGTACTGCATTTTTCCAAACTCACCCAAACATGACAGCTTGTAAATCTTCTTACGTATTCAACATGTATTAGATCAAGCTGAGGCGTGTGTACCAGAGTACCCATTTGAAGAAGAGCTGAAAGTAAATATCCTTTTCTAATTTCATAAGAAATTCATTTACACTATAATTTCCTTCAGATACTTATTCCTCTTCTAGACATTATTAATGTAGCCTAATGCTTAAATGATTTAAATATACCTCTACAACTCTTTTGTAGCTTCACTGGAATACTGATGTGTTTAGGGCTTCTATACTGAGAATGATATTGATTCCATGAACCCCGAAATGAAATGTAATCATACATCGATTTGGCAAAATTTCAGAGTGGCTTCCTTGATGGATCCTAAAAGGCTTTAAAAAATGTCACTTCAGAAAATTGATGTTTTCTTTACAGAGATCTAAAGTTAAAAGCATGAGAATTACAATATTATCAGAGTAACACAAAAGAGACAAAAAAAAAAAAAAAAAAAAAAACCCTAATACTTCTTCGGTCTTTGGTAGATGTTTAAGTTGAGTAATGATTTTTGTTTTTAAAAGGAGCTCCAAGTTCACAGTAAATTAGCAAACAATGTGAGGCAGGAAAAGAATCAAGCAGGGGTTAGCATATTTATACAAACAGTGATTTGGTATTTCAAAATTAAAATGTACAAATAAGCTGGTGTCAGAGAGGAGGTGATTCTTCATTTCCACCACATTGAGCAGGCTCACATCGGCAGCAGACAGCTCTTAATGTATGCGTCTGGCTCAGACTGGTCTTCCAACCAAGAAGCCACAGGATTGTTAATATCATTGCTTTTTTCGTATGCAACACACATCATTTTCTTGCTCTTTGTTGTAAATTTCTCCTTTAATTTTAGGCTTAGAGTGATCTGATTTTCCAAATCATATTATAAATCCCCCAAACAATATTATCCTGTGATAACTGAGATGGAAATGCAGAAAATGTGGCATTCTTCAAGGGACATACAGAATTAAGTAGCCTATGAACCCACTTGTACCTATGGTGTAAGAGAAAAGCTTCATCAATGATATGCTCATAAAGACAGTTCACATAGGAAACATATAAAGAACATTCAAAGAGTGCAAGATTATTAGTAAAAATAGTTATATATCTGGGGAAATGAACAAATACTATCACATTCTAAATTCACTTTTGGTATGTATAGTTCTTTTTTGAACTATAATTGCTACATAGTGTGGTAGTGTGATAATATAGAAATCCTTGCATTTTAAATAACCTATATCTGATATCATTATAGCCAATAAACCTCTATCCCTTATATTATTTTGAAACTAAATTGATGTAATATTATACATATTTATGGTTACATTATCCCAGGTGTCAGTAAGCATATATCTGTATGTGATATTGTTTTGTATAACAGGTAGTTTCCGTTCCATTGTATGAACATTTTTATTAAATATAATCATGTTTCTCTGTGCATGCATATACACATACATAGAGTTCTTTGTAGTGAGAAACTTCTGGTTTTTAAAAACATTTAATTCCAACCTGAGTGAGATAAAAAGAAATAAAAGATAAACAGTACTGAAAATCTTTACTGTTTATATTACGTTCATTCTTTTGGAGTTTCAAAACATGTTTATACACAGAGACACAAAATTTCAGAGCTTCTAGATAAATGAAGGAGGTGCTATAAAGAATGAACATAACTAGTGCAGATACACAGTTACACATATTTTTTAAGCTTTGTATGAGAGAGGAGCATATTTACTGTATTATTACATTAATATTTAGGAAATAAAATTTTGAGCAATTTATATTTTGTGATACTTAAAAGCATAAGTAATTGTAACAAATCCAAGGAAAAAGTGAACAAAGACTCCATACAGCATTCTAAGATACATGCATAAATTTATTTTAACAATGTAGAAAACAATTTATGGTACCCATATAAAGCAGTAGAGTTAAAACAATGAAGTCACTTTGCTTTTTTTGTGATCAAAACTGTCATCTCAATTTGAATCTTGATATTTATAACATTATTATAAAATTTTGATAGATTTAGGATATTCTTTCTTCACAAAAACTTATTTGGTGTGGCAATGACTCATACATATTATATCTTTGTCATGGTTTGAAGAGTTACTTTGGATAAAAGTAAAATTCTTATAAAATCAAAACTGTGCAGTGGAGAGACACTTGATAGGTAAGTCAGGGCAGTTTGACTTCATATGACACTACTGCTTTAGCCCACGTAGACTCATGATATACACAAAGGAAAACATAAAAACAGAAAGGTATCATATTTTCCCAAATTTCTGATAACTCTCATTCTTGGTTTTTTTAACAAGGAAGCTGTTAATCCATAGGAAGCATTTTGTCTGAGCAAAAGATTGAAGAAAACTCTAGCACTAAATACCATGTATAAAATAGCATTTTCAAAAAATCTACTAGGGTGAGTAAAGAAGATTGTAAATCATTTTATTTCTGGGCCTGAACCATGATTAGAGCTATAGATTACATAGTCTGAGTCACAGTTGTGAGAATACATACTCTTTAAGTAGCTAATGTATATAATTCTATGCATATGAAAAAGGAATAAATATAAACAACTCTCTTTATTAACTAAAGAAATACTCTCTTACTCTCATCACCTAAAATACACCAAAAGAAGCATTTGAAAACACTTGTATTTAATTCTGCTTCTCACACAGATAGCTTACATTCTTTTTATATTATCAGTCTATTATAATATAAATGCTATTTCAGTGCAATTGTGTAATCACTTGAGAGTATAGTTTCTGACAATAATATTTTGGGAGGTGGGTCGTGGTGAAAAGACTGCTGATTATAAAGAAAAGCATTGTTCTTTGCTCCTAGGAAGAATCTATGTATGTTCTTTTGTTCTGATGGTAACTGTAGGCAATCAATAAGGTCCAAAGCTGCTGGTTCCCCTCCGCCTAGGTCCCAAGAGCCTGACTTGTGATGTTACTAAAATACCTCACAAGTTAGGGTCTCAGGGACTAGGAAAAGTCTGGTTTGATGCAGAATTCTTCTTCCAGTAATAAGGATAGCTTAAAAATCACAGTTGGGTTCAGTTAGACTTTTTTCTTCTACACACTAATTAAAATACAGAAGTAGAAATATCTGATATAAATAAAAGTGAGGATGAGGTAAAAAAGCATGATGATGACCATTTATAGATGAATCCCAGACCTCCAGATAATGAAGAAGAGGAAAAACAATGCAGGCAATGAACAGTTAAGTTATTCCATTAGATCTGAAGAAAGAGACTAAAAATGGGTTAAAATCTGCTGCTAGCAGACTTGTTCAGCAACACCATAGCCTCTATTACATTGAAAAAGGATTATAAGCCACTTAATGGGGCCTTAATTGAAATTTTGCTTCCCATTACACTTCTATATAGCACAACTGTTAGGGTGGGCCGAGGACATATAACACTTTAAACCTGATTTAAATATATACCATTGCATTTAAGAATACAATAGAAAGTTTTTGTATGTCATAATTTAATACCTCTGAAGCTTGATTTTTCTCTTTAAATCTCCAAACTATTCAGACAGCAAATATTTCCATGCATAATCTGTAGTTATTTGATCAATGCCACTTAATAAACATGTAACTTAAAATGCTGGCAACAACATGAAAATGATTCTATTTCTTGAATAATTGCATTATAAATCTCAACACTTTTAAAAACACACAATCCCAGTCCTGTATATGCACTGAATTTCCTCCGATCTTTTAGCTTTTTTTTTTTTGTGGTTCAAGAACAGAATTTGTACTTTAGGAATGATCCAAGCTTTAGTAGCATAGAACGCAGGGTAAAACAATCGGACCAGCCATAACATAAAAGTCCTGGTCAGAGAAGTGGATCTGCTTCCTCTGAAGTGGTTGATCTTAAAAGGGAAAAGAGGAGGAAAAACAAAACGGAAAGAATTAGAATGTTTTCCTGAAGAACAGGTGAATCATCCATTTCCAAGTAAGCTGCAAGGAAAGCTATGCTGAACAAAATATTTGCTAACTGGCCCCCTCCTCCACCCTAGTACCACACCCCTTTCCAACCACCACCCCCACCCCCTGTCCAGATCTTTACTTTGCCTTGTAAGACTTTAAATATTCGGCTCCATGATGTAATGCATCATTATATAAGATCGCTTTCTGTTTATCATTTGATTTTTCCATACTGAATAAGAGATGGCTTAAAATAAATAGTTTAAAAATATAAAACAAAAAAACCCCAAAAAAACAGCATTCACAAAAAGCAAAAATATAAAACAGTCCTTAGCTCTAAGTCCATGCTTTTCCTTAAAACTGAATATGGCTTTACAATTTTTGACCATAGCATTCAACCAATTATTAGAATGAAAAATCTCACCCCTCCATAAATATGACATTAACATAATTATACCACCCCCATCCCGGAGACCCATCCTCCTTAGGGAATACATCTGATGCTCCAAAGATGGAAATCAGTCAGATTTTAGTTGCTCTCCAACGTACCTTTGCTTCTCACTGACTGACTGGCTTTTACCCTCCACGCACTCACACGCCACCCCTCCCCTCGGCTAGACACGGATGCCTAGCGAGCACGCGCGCGCACACAGGCACCAGACACTCGGCAGAGGCGAGGCAAAGCATCTGATGCTGACTCAGAGCGCTTCTGTGTGCAGGGGGTGGCAGCGGCTGGTATTTTCACCGCGCTCATCATTAACATTAACTCACAGTCTAGCATCCACCCTCTTCCAGACCTGCTGGACTGCAGCATTTGCATGACGCTGTCACTCTAGCCTTTGCAGGTCAGATGATGGAAGGGAAAAGGGAAGAGAAAAAAAAAAAAAAAAAAAAAAAAGGAAAAGGAGGAAAAAGGAAAAAAAAAAGCATAGCCTCAAGACTTTCGTAAAAAATGCCTTCTTTTCTTCCAGGGTCTCCTTATTTTTCTACTTTTCTACTTCCTCTGTGGCTGTTTCTCAGTTGTTTGACATCTTTCCGGAAGAAAATGTCCCGTGCTTCGGTGAGCCAGTCGCCAGTGGGTCCTCCCCTCCCCTCGCACTGCGCTCCCCACCCCTTCCCCCGCTAATCAATAAGACAGATCTTCAAATGCAGTTGTGAAAACAGGCTCCGACACAGTCTCGTCCTGGATCCCCTACCCCAGGAAGCAAGCAGCCAGCCTCACACGTGATAGACAGAGAAATAATGCCAACAATTCTTTAACAGCCCTAGACTTTATTCTACGGCTTCATTTTTTTTTTCTCCCTTGGCAGAAGAAAGAGCAAATGAATCTTTCCATTTCTATAGGAAGCCTCCAGACACCAGAGTGAGGCTGATCTGCATGGATTAATCATTTCTACTACTACTACTAATAAAGCTATGATTTTAATAAAAGTAATTGCTTCATATTTTTATTAGCTGTGTTCTCATGTCACAGGAATTATAAGATGTGCCAAGATATGAATCATCAATATGATTCAAACTGTGTTGAAATTCTAGGTTGATGGAAAGAAATCAACGAACAGGGTATTAGTATATTTTAATTTTTAAAGCCTTTAAAAAGAAATAACAAATAGATGTTTGTCAGTGAATATGTCTTTGAGATCAAGACATTTACAGGCTATAAATATTGATTGAATATGTATGTCCAAAAATATAAATTACATATATAGAAAAACTATGTGCTATGTGCATTTTTGCAAGAGGAAGTAAAATATTTGGCTGAACACGGTTCTGTCTGTGTTAGTTTCAGAACACATGAAGCAGGATGTAAGCATTTACCCAGTTCTTTGTTCTTCAACTGCTCTCTGTAGTGACAGAGTACGGTAAATTGTCTACCTTTCCTTTGTACATGAGCAGTATTTCTGCATTACTTGCCAGACAGAACTAGCCACCAGTGACACTGCAGCATACAAGAAATATATACAAAGGAAAGCAAAGTACGCAGTCCTGAAGCCAACTCTGATGCTGTCTGGTGCTGTAGATATTTCAGTTTATGCTCACAGACAGGTCCCAGCGTGCAGTGCGGCACTGCAGGACCAACTAAGGTAGCAGTTTGGCAATAGATCTGTGGCAACAAATGTGAAGAATAAGCATTTGCTGAGGCTTTAAAGAAAACAGCACACAACTCATAGAGAAAGGAGCACTGCAGTAAAATAGGTGTCTTTAAAATCAGCTCCTACAGGCTTCTGATTTGAAGGAAAAGAAAAAAGGAAATGCAAAAAAAAAAAACCTCAAACACAAAAGAACTGAGTACTGGAAGGAAGCATGGAGTTAAGTACATACTCTGGTGAGAAAAAGAAAGGCAGGAAGGAAAAGAATAAGAGAGGAAGGAAGAAAAGAAACACAGAAAGGCAAAGAGGGAGAGAAAAAATGAAGAAGGTGAAGAAAGGCACAGATAGCAATAAACATCTTTAAGCACTGAATGAAATACGTGTGAAATCTCCTTTCAGAATCTGAAGAGTGAGGAACACTGCTCAACCTTAGAGGCTAATTCAAAGACTGAAACAAAAATTAACACACGCACAGCATAGCTTAAAACACTTCTTGTCAGTAGAAGTGAGATGTCTGCTGCATTCTTCCTGCCCTATGTGTGTTACAGCAATCATCTCTTAATCTCTTGCTGCTCAGACCCATCTTTTATTTCATTCTATTTTTTAACTCTTCTGCATCTGCATTTTTTATTCTGTTCTTTTCCCAGGTAGTTGCCCACCATAGTCTGGATAAATTAAGTCATGACCTCCACAGCTATCAGATGTAAAATGCTGACTATTTTAATAACTCAACATGAGTTTGCAGCAACTACCTACTGATGTCCCAGCTCTGTCCACTATGTGAGCACTGCGCTCCTAGCTCTGCAAATCAGGAACAACAGATTCAGTACAACTTCTTTCCCCAATTGATAGTATTTCTTTCTATTACCTAGACCATATTAAAATGCACATGACTTAACTCCACACAAGACATAAATATATTCACTGAGGAGTTTAGAAAATCAAAAGAAGTAATCATTTAAAGAAAAATAATAGTTACAACTGAATGTCCATACATATAAAACATTTATATCCAGACAGGAATTAGTCAGCTTCAAGTACCAGGATTTCTGTCAGGACCTCTGGTAGGACCAATAGGAAGACAGAATTAACTAAATCAATGTGTATTTGAAAAAGAGATGTTGTAATCAGTCGGTTCAATTACTACTGCCATATACACAAGTTTAAGGTGTTCTCTAATTCTGGACTGCTAATCATTAATACTAGTACATCCCTAATCGGATTTTATGCTTTGACTATAGTGACAGTTTTTGCAAAATAAAATTTTGACTCTGGTTTGCATTAATCTAAATAATGCAATATATGTATAGCCTTACTAGAACTACTTTTATTTGATATTTGTTAGGTTAACTGTTTACAAATAATCGAGATAGATCTGAGTGTAAACGACATATGAAGTAAAAAGAAGAAATAACTACTCTGAAATACTTTAATAAAACTTGTGTACTTTTCATTTCTAGGGCAGGAGTCTTTTCTTTTCTACAAAAGTCACTTGAAATCAATGCGATTATGGGTATCAAATTACGATTAATGGGGGAAATTTGGAATAAGACTAATGGAAGACATTGATCTGCAGTTTTTACTCAAGATTCATGGATGTATAGGATGGATTACTACTGGAATATCCCATTTACTTAAATTGCATTCTTCAAGAATCTTCAATCAGCCATTTCAGCAACTAAAATAAAAGTTAAAAATATTTCCTGCAATCTTTGGTCATATTTCCATTGTATAGGAGCACATGTGACTGGTGATTACCATGTTGGACAACTTGGATATAAAATATTTCCAACCTTGCGGAAAGTTTTATGGGACAATGCGGACTTAAACTGGCCTTGTGAAAAGTTTTATGGCATAGCTGATCATTGGATCCTAGTATTTTCTTTCCAGTCTCTCTTAGTAGAATAAAACATATTGATTTATTTGAAGGTATAAAATAGAGGTTTTTGTTTTGTTTTGCTTGTTTTGTTTTTGGCTGAAAAGAATCTAATGTTTTTATTCACTATTAGCTTTCAAAGGGAAGGGTTATGCGGAAATTAACTTTCAAATACGTGATTTTTAAAAAATAAACATCACCAAAAAATGCTCAAATGAAAGTCTCTGAATACATCCAAATGCTTGTCTAACCTTTCCAGGAATGAAAGCCATGCTTGGGTGCCAAACAACACACATTACATGTTACTGTTTTCCATAAAGAAGAGACGTAGCAGTAGTGTCATCAGCAAAAAATCTAGAGAAATAGCCTTTTAAACAACTCCTACTCATATAAGAAAGTACTAGCAGTAAGATGGAGAAACAAACATAGACTTCTTCTTTTTTAAAGGAAAAGAAAGAATAATTAAAAGGTGATGCAGACAATAATGAGACACCATGAACTGAGATGATCTGCTTAGAAATTTTCTATGAAGTAAAACACTAAGAAAGAGAAAAAATATAATAATAACCTGAATGTGTATATGTGTGTATGGAGATAATACATTTTTGTTATAATATTTTTCAACACCTTCGTAAGATAATTTTAAGGTACAAATCAGGTTCTGGAACTACTTATTTTGTGAAAAGTTAAAATAAAGTAAAACAAACGTATGTGAGTTATTACTTTAAAAATGTATGGTGAAGAACACAGCTCACTTCTAAACAAAGGGGGAAAAAATCTGACCTACAGTTTCTTTTAGAATTGTATTATTATTAGGCTAGAGGATGATGCAGTGTTTAACTCACTTTATGACTGAAATTTGTCAACCTGAAAATTACTTTTTTCCTCCCTGTTTTGATATATAAATGCAGAGAAATACAACTACCATAGAAAAACACTCACAGGAATTTCTCCTCCTTCAAAGAATAATCTGGTATTTAATCTCATGTACTTTCCTGTGCTTAGTAATGCAAAAGGAGCTACTGTAACTTTCTGTAGTAAGCTTCTTTCTCCAGCCCTCCTCGCCCTTTTCCCTTTACCCTTTCCCTTCACTTTTCTGTGCTCCTGGAAGTGTACAACCCCCTTCCGATCCAGCCTGTCATCAGTATCCACAAGGCGACCACATTCAAAGCCACACCACAGAAAGGAATTAGGAGAAGAACAAGTCTAAGACAGGAAAGCAGAGCAAGAACATGAACCTGAGGCTGATCTTGAAGGGAAAGTGAAGTGCAGTTTGTAACACAACCACTTACAAAAACTAACAGCTCTTGAGGATGATGAGGGGCAGTTCTCCTTCAGGGAGGAGGCAATGTACGATAATGAGACGTAAGATGGCATATTAAAAATTGTAACATATCAAATTATACCAAAATGTGAAAGTGTATTTTTAACAGTTTGTAGGATTATATATTGGAACAATAAATGAATGTTCCTGCTGTATTTATTGGCTTTCTAACAGGTGAGAAAGGAAAGAATCCTGGGTTTTTAAGATGGGACAGAAGTAAAAAGGCATTAAATAATATTAAAATAAATTCAGAGTTTCTGTTGTATTTACTGTTGGAAGATTATAGCACAGGATCTATAACAATTAATGTTTTAACAAGCCAACTCTTAAAAAATATGATTCTCTGTACAGTAGTATACACAACACCTTGAAACAAAGTGAGAACTAATCTAAGTTCTAGAAAAGCAGGTGTAGTACCACCTGTACAACTAGTAAAGTTTGTGATCTTGGATAAATCATTTAACTTTCAGAACTTTAGTCCTCTTAACTTTGAAGTCAGGAGTCAAGACTAAGTTATGAAAGATGACTAATATAGCCTTCAGATTTCACGTGATGTACAGTGAGCAAAATTAAAACAGGTGTTGGTCACTACTACTATTTAGATATACGGTTACATAATGGTCTTATTTAATTCTCACAATAATTTTATAATAGCATTTATGTCTGCAAAGACTAATAAGTACTCTTCCAAAGTCTGTTTGATAGTTGGTCTAATAAATGAATCTCAAAAATATATTATTTCATATAGCTGCAAAGTATGGCAATGAGAACATTTTATATTAGATCTTTTATATAGATTAGCCAATTATATTTAAAATTTAATTTAATTAAAACAATATGTAAGATATTTTATTTTGCAACAATGGGTGTAGTAATTTACCATGGTTTTTTCAAGTGTATACACTACTAATCTGTGAACTCAGTTTTTCTTTGGATAACTGCCTGTGTGGGTTAAAAACACAGAATTTATTGATAAATTAGATATATTTTAGCTTTAATAATTTGTTTTTAAATGTCAAGATAAAATACCTCAGTATATAAAGCCTCTTGAAATGGATTTTAGACATACCAAATAAAAAAGCAATCAGAAAATCAGGTGACTCATAGCTTAAAAATATCATCATCACCTGAAATTCTTTCA